GTCCTCACTCTATAAAGAGAACTCTTTGAGAGCCAACTAATTAAAAAAAAGTTATTAAAAAGCTGAAAACAGTGAGTTGTCGAACTCGATGAATTAATTTCGTTAAAAAATTGCCACTTTCTTCCATGTCATTCTGTTTTTTCGTCTATACCTTTTTTTAAAAAAAGACTTTTTAACTTTTAATTGATGTAATTATTAATTTTTAAGCAATTTTTTTCGATAATCGATTGATTGGTTCCAAGAAATTATAATGAAGACGGAGATAGCTTAATACGCTGTTTATTTCTTTAAAAAACATATTTATGAGGCAGGTTACTTTTTTAAGGGGGGAAAATCATCGAATGACTGCTCCTGTCTAGGTGAGTCGGAATGGAGTGTCAGACTCTTACTGACTAAAAACCACCCCGTTTCTTCTCCTGCATGTCGAGCCGGAGCCCCAGTAACCCGTTAGGTTCTCCGCGACCATTAGGTTCTCCTCGACAAGGCAGGTCACTAGACTTTATAATTCGAGTAAGTACATTCTTATTCACGGTAACAATCTTTCCTCTATAGACTTACTTTTTCCTAGTTTTTGAACTAATACATTATATCTTATGAATGAACATGAACTAAGACAAGAGCTAAGTATAGTGGTTAATCCTCTGTCCTTTTTTCTGATTATGATATAGAATAACTGATTCTAAAAATTTAAAAAGGGAAGTGTTTGGTTTGTCGCTTTTGTAAATTTTGGAAAATTTCTTTACGCTGTATCAATATTCGTCCGTGAGTCACTGCAGGGTGCCACCTGAAAACCAGCGTTGGGCAGAAACATATAAGATCAAGACACAAGCTAATTTCCATACAGTTTTAACCGATTTTTGGTTTAAATGTGTAAACATGTATTGAAATGTGATAATAAATAAATAAAAAAAATATCTCATTGGGCGTTATAAACCTTTAAAGATAAATGTAAGTTAAATAAAAAAAAGAACAACGAAAAAACAATATGAAATTAAACATTCGTCCACAACTTGCATAAAACGTGAGCTGCCAATAACACAGCAAGATATTTTCTCAGAATTTCTTCATTCCCATAAAACAAAACTTGACTCGATACATTTTCTTTAGCAAATGTTCATCGTAACAAGATTTTCTTCGGCTCCATATAAACAAACGGGGGATGAGGATGAAAAATACGTAAAATAAGACAAATGTGGCGTAAACGTATCGTATGAGCGTGATTACTGAAAGATTAGCCTCGCCCGTCTAAGTAAAGTTCAATGAACCGACTGACTGTGTTACTGATATATCTCTGAGGGAAGATAGCCTGCTAGTTGTGACGTAGGTACTACAGAAGTTTAGTTCGGAACAATTTTATTCTATGCATTTTACTGCTTGTCCACTTTACTGTACTGAAAAAAAAAAAAACTAAAAATTTTAAATACAGAATGCTATCTTTTACATAATTATTGCTATGTAATGCGTATATTGAATATAATATTGAGATGAGCTTATTATTAATCACAAGTTTATAATTCATGCAAATAATTTTCAAATATGATACGACGAGATCGACTTGATTTCAATTGTTTTTTAATGAATGACGATAGTAAAAGTACATTTTGATGCAATATTGGACCTTAAAAGAATTTCTGTTACCCAACAAAAATGTCTAGTTTCGAAGCTCAAAGTCTGTAAAAAGTTTCGGTATCTTTTTTGTCGCATAAATTGTAGAACTTAAGTCCATGAAGTGAATAACTTTGTCGCATAAACGATGAGTTATTTGTTTGCGCAGTGTTGCAGTTCTTATTCATGAAATTCTATGGCTAATTTTAAAATGTCATTTTTTAAGAGAAAGTAGAACAATTTTGGCTATGGCCAATGGGATTTTTTAGGTTGTATTGAATAGTCTATGAAAATACTAGACTCTTTTTACCACTGGACTTTTTAACTTTTAAACCGAATGTTCTACAGGATCTGAACGGATTTGGGAGAAATTAAAATTCTATGTGGATATAACATCACGTCTTTTCCCCAAAGGTTTATTATTCTTTGAGGGGGTAGGACCTGTTATGACTCCCATGCCGCAAATATTGCCATTGACTTTGCGGTCATTACGATCGACTGCGCAAAACCCAAGATCCGTGCCATTCCTAAAACCTAAAAAAATCTGAATCTCTAAGACTAAATTTCTCCCATCCCCAATTTCTCCAATTCCTCAAAAGGCCGACAAGGCATTCGTAACCCCTCTGGTGTTGCGGGGGTCTATTGGTGGCGTGATTGCTTTCCATGAAGAGATCTAGCTGCCTGTATCCCGGCCTATCCCTTAAAAAAGTATCTTGTTTTTCTTTAGCATTCCATTTAAGATCATTCATCAAACATCCAATAATATTTAGGACCCTACTCCTAGATGTCGATGCGGAGTCGCGGAGAACTTAATGCGTTGCTGGTGGCCTTAACGGTCGTGACGAGTAGGAATGGGGTGGTTTTTTGGTGAGTAAGAGACACTCCCTCTCCCCTCACCCGAGGCGGGATAAGTTACTGGATGATTTTCACCCCTTAAAAAAGCTCCTATGTTAACCTTCTGCATCCCCTATATATGGCAACCACTGTAACTGATGTATCTTTAGATCCGATAGCCCGATAGGTACCGGTGCACGTCTCACTGATCTCGATTTGCTTTGATATTGCGCTTGTTTTTTTATAACTATTTATGTTCCATCAATCAGCGTTACAAAGACACGGCGATGCTGATACAGAAATAATGTTTATTTCAGGGATATTTTGTAATGTTTGATAAGAATCTATAACGAGGATAGTTCTTTTCTTTACTTTTTTTATGGGCTAAGCCGGTACCTATATAGAGCAGACAGATCACCTGTTGGTAAGCAAATGGTGTCGCCAATGGACACCTGGATATGACCGTGGACTGTTCGGGATTCAGAGATTGGGAAGATTGGGAAATGGGGGATAATTGGGCCTCCCATAACTTCACTCATACGACGAAACACAACGCAAGCGTCGTTTCACATCGGTTTTCTATGAGGTCGTGGCATTATTCCGGTCAAACCGGTCTATTCGGTCTATTCTATACTATTTCTATAATAGGTACGTATTACAAACAGATTTATTTAGATTCGCCTAAATATTATGGTATTTTTAATATTTACTTTATTACAATCAAATGTTGTTACTCTTTACGCAACTTAACTCTTAAGTTGCAATTTGGAAACCAAAAAAATAATACAATAAATCAAATTCAAAACAAATGTAAATCAATGACATATTTCAGCTTCAATGTTTAAAAAGCTATAGTTCAATAGAAGAAACATGCAATAGACCTGTGCAACAGACAGACACATAAAAATTACTTGCACCCGCAACACCACATTACTCACAGCACAAGTGCGTTGTGCGGTGCGTTAAAAAGGAATACGCTCTTTTCTTGTTGAAGGTTTGAAGGTCGTATATATACTATTGTATGAAATAAAGATAGTATTAATACGCATGTAGACCGATATTTATGCAGATAAAGCGACTATTATTGTACATCAACTTGTCTAGACGATTTTGTCATTACACATAATATATACCTACATATTAGATATATACTTGTATTTATACGTACTTTTACATCTATATATGTGCATATTACTCATATATATGTTTTCATTTAAAAATTACCTTCAAGAAAAGAGCGTGTCCCTTTTTTAAAAGCCGGCAACGGGCATGTGAGGTTGTGACTCCTCGGGTGTTGCGAGTGTGTTTCGGGTGGTGGTGATCGCTTACCATCAGGTGATCCGTCTGCTCGTTTGCCTCCTATTTTCTAAAAAAAGTCGATTTATGTATGTTATCATCATCATCATCATCATCAGCAGCCCGTGTTCGTCCTCTGCTGGACATAGGCCTCTCCACACGTTAAGTCCCTCGCGGCTCCGTTTCGGCATCAGCCCTATAGGGCTGACCCTATTGGGCCCCATCCGTGGTGGTCTGATGGCTCTTTGAGGCGCGCGCGGAACGTGACACGCCGTACACTAGAGTAAGCCATCTGGAGTATAGGGATCTTTTATCGAAATAGTAAGGCCCTAGGCTATTTGTAGTATCTGCCCCAGTCAAGGCTGGTTTTCCTATCCTAGTGTGTATTTAAAAAAATAAAAATAAAATTCCAGTATGAGTTAGATCCATAAGGAACGTGATTTATCAAAGCGCCTTGGTACAGTATTCTCATGATGGCCGAAACCACGAATAAAACGTTAGTGAATGTATTCAATATTGTATACAAAGGTATTAAATTTTGATTAATACTATGTATAAACTCAAAGATACCAACGATTACGAGAATGATTCATAATGTACTGGGTTTAATTATTAATTTGGATTATCAAATTCCTGTGTTTAAGGTAATGAAGTGAAGATTAGATAAATCGGACGCGAGGAAACAATAAAAGCTAGATCTTATTCATAAAATTGGTTTGTCAATTTGTTTGTGTATTGAAGAGCGCCCATCTTAAATGGACCTTAAAAACGAAATGACAACAATCAACCAAGTTACTTTGTATGCAGATAAAAAAATAAAGATTCAGGTATCAGCATCCATTGTTTTACTTCTGAGACAACCACTGGTGAAAAATATATACCTACTTGTATATACAATACATACCTACATATTATATACTGCAATTGAATCAAAATTCTCCCATTTTCTAAATTTCGTACCTGCATACTGAATGACTTGGCTGACTGCCCATATATGCTTATTCAATTGCAACTTCAAGGACTTGAACAGTCTGCATACCTTTGACGTCAGTCGACAAAAATTTAATAAAATTCAGCTGGTTGTGGTGGGAGAGATTAATATACTTCAATGAAATCGTGGAATAAAAACTAGTATGTATACCAGAGAAACAGTTATCGATTTTTGATCGCACTAATAACTATGAGTCAACAATGAGTCAAGTCTATATCTTATCGTAATCATATATAATTAATTCGACGAGGTAATTTCATTAGCCCCTGTTTTCACAAAACAGTTTGAGCAGACATAGTGGCAATTTAGCAGAAAAAATGTTGTATAAAATAAATTCAGTATTCATATTTCTGTTTTTGTATTTGGTGCCTTTCACTGCCGGTGAGACTTGTGTGAGGTACACTTTCGAACAAGGTTTCGATGAGTTGTTCTCGGATAAATTTGAACTTTGTGCATCCTTAAATCTGCCACCATGGGAACTCGGACAGTACAGGACATTGGGAATACCAGCTCCGAACGCACAAAGCACATCTTTTATGGCACCACAACCAGGAAACGAAAGCTGCACGTCATCATTCTTGTTTCCCATGCAACGAGGAGCTACCATTGAAGTCACACTTTATCTGGATCCAGTGCATAGTCTCGATGAGTTTATGTTTCTAATTACACACATTGACCCTAGATCAGGACTTCCGTGGATGTCAGGAGTTTATATATTTTCACCCTCGCCATGGCCTTTTCCAAGTGGATGGTATACGGCGTCATTTCCAATACCTGGTCCAAGCACACCTGAAGGATTTGTGAGTATTATTTTGATGTTAATTTAATTAAAATGTTAATCCATGATTGTTCCGTCCGAGACACTGATTGGTGGAGTAGTCGCGGATCAAAAATTCGGATTAGTGGAGCGAGTGCTTTATAAACATTTTTGGCAGAACGATGCCTGGATTATTTTCTGAATTTAGTAGCAGATGGACATACTATCGATTACTATATTATTGATGATTTCTCACATATTTGTTTTATAATTATTGGGAGAATTTATTGAAAGATGCCATAATAGGCAACCTAGCATAGCATGCACTGATCGGGCGTCTCGTACGAACAAGTTGCAAACTACACGTGTACATTTCTTTTATTTATAAAGCGCCTTCGGTTTTTAATTGCTGCAGGGTTGGCGGATAAGCCAAATGTGGACGTTTTATTTTTATTCACCGCCTGTTAGTAAATATTTCTTTGGTTGTTGCAGTTAATGGTGTGGGCCGGTGGACCTCGTAACCCAAGGATGTTAATTGATTCATTCCGTGTCATCCCTCCTGGTATGGATGAGAGCTTTTGCCGGCTTTATGAAGGCAACATGCGCCCTCTGCCTGCTCTGAAATACAGAGCACCAGAAACTATTCCGAAACTAAAATCTTTTCTTAAAATAAACGACAAATTATAGTTGACTAATAACTTCATTGTTAATTAAGATTTTAGTGGATCTTAGTACACAACGTGTCATTGTTGCATTACTAAATAAATTGTAATATACGATTTACATGTGTATTCTATTATTGCACCCTGTATCATGTATGATTCATAAGGCTTTATTTTATATAGAATATAGTCAGGCGTTACTTTGCGGAAATCTATGATCCATTAACAACTGAGATAATATGCGGTATGCAGTATGCAGTAGAGATGCGTCAGAAAACACACCTACGACACACAGCGAACCACTCGAACCACAATCGACATAATATTATGTTTCGTTCCGTATAGGTACAAGTCTGTATAGGTATAATTAAAAACTTTGGAAATAGAAAAAAGTTTCAAAGAATACGGATAGATGTGGTAGGAGAAGTAAATGTGCAAATGTACAGCTTTTCAAAAAAGATTTAATCATCTACTGTAGACCATATCCCATGAATAACCAATCATCCGAACATAGTACCTCCTCTTTTAAACGCGATAAAAGTAACAAATATCGAAACAGATTGAGTCGTAGCGTACCAGTGCCAAACTTACAATACTAGCGACCTCAATTATTCCAAACTATTTTTTGCCAAACAATACTTCAGTACACTTATACTTGTAATGAAATAATACCTAGGATATATATTTATCATGTTTTGATCGCACTAATAACTGTGATTTATCTCTATAAGCATTTTTAGATAACAGAAGTATCTTATCGTAATCACACATAATTAATTAGACGAGATAATTTAATTAGCCCCCTGTTTTTATACACCAGTTCAACGGTAACGTTTGGAACATTGAGCAGACATAGTGGCAAATTAGAAGAAAAAATGTTGTATAAAATAAATTCGGTATTCATTTTTCTGTTTTTGTATTTGGTACCTTTCACTACCGGTGAGACCTGTGTGAGGTACACTTTCGAACAAGGTTTCGATGAGTTGTTCTCGGATAAATTTGGATTTTGTGCATCCTTAAATCTGCCACCATGGGAACTCGGACAGTACAGGACATTGGGAATACCAGCTCCGAACGCACAAAGCACATCTTTTATGGCACCTCAACCAGGAAACGAAAGCTGCACGTCATCATTCTTGTTTCCCATGCAACGAGGAGCTACCATTGAAGTCACACTTTACCTGGATCCAGTGAATATTCTCGATGAGTTTACATTTATAGTTGCACAAATTGATCCTAGATCAGGAATTGCGTGGTTATCAGGAGCTTATAGCTTTTCACCTTTTCCATGGCCCTTTCCAAGTGGATGGTACACGTCATCATTTCCAGTACCTGGTATAAACACACCTGAAGGATTTGTGAGTATTATTTTAGTGTTAATTTGTATAAAATTTTTATTCTGTCCGAGTCACTGCTTGGTGGAATAGGCTCAGTGGAGCCGCTTTGTAAGCCACAACTATTGCTCTTTGAAATTTTTTTGGCATAACTGCGATAACTTAATTGCCTGTATTGCGTGGAGATTATTTGCTTAATTAAGTAGCAAATGGCGATATTATCAACCGCTAAATTATTGAGAATCGCTCACATAGAATATTTGTTATGCATTTATTAGGAAAATTTGTTTAACCATGCGATGATAGACAACTTAGTGAATGCACCGCTTGGGCGTCGCGCACGACCTTGTTGTAAATTGTACGTGTACATTTTTTATATTTCTAGAACGCCCGTGTTTCTTGATTCTTAGATTAGTAGATTAGCCAAATGTAGGCATACACTACAACGTTTTATTTTTCTTTACTGTCTATTAGTAAATACTTTTTTTTATTGCAGTTAATGGTGTGGGCCGGTGGATCACTTAACGCAACATTGTTAATAGATTCATTCCGTGTCATCCCTCCTGGCATGGACGAAAGCTTCTGCCGACTTTACGAAGGCAACATGAGCCCTCTCCCTGCTCTGAAATACAAAGTACCAGAAACTATTCCGAAACTAAAATCTTTTCTTAAAATTAACGACAAATCATAGTTGACTCATAACTTTCATAGTTAATTAAGCTTTTAATGCAAATATAGTCTTCAAGTACACAACCCGTCATTGTTGCCAGTGTACTGGTAATGTGTATTGTAGCCTTTGACATTGTTTTGAAACTGTGTGACATTGGTTTTTGTATCAGCTTAATATATTCTATTGTATTTTTCTATAACTGTGTGATAATACGTGCATTTAATTTTTGTCATATCTTTGACATTATTCTGAAACTGTCGATTGTATTGATTGGGTTCTTGACATTATAAACGGCCTTGCTTAGAAGCCTAATTAATGAAATTTGATTTCTGGTGTATGTGGTGTATTATGTTTTCGTAATGTGAATTTGCTTGTCTATTGTATTGTATTTGTATTGTATTAAATTTCAGACACAATGAAAATGTTGTTAAATGAATAAATAAATGAAATGAAAAAAATCAAATGTGTTTCGATCGCATATGAATGGGAGAATACTTTAAAAATATGTTCTTTTGAAAATGTTATATAAATCTGGTATAATATCTGATTGAGATCTTGAAAACCTTTCAAGCATTCCAACCGTCATGATCTTTGGCCCAGTACTGTTACGGCCCAGTTATGTTTTTTTTTGGTTTTAATAAATAAATTTTAATATACAACTCACATATATGTATTCTATTATTGCACCTTGTATCATGTATGATGCATTTTTTTTTCTTAAGGGGGGAACATCATCGGATGACTGCTCCCGCCTGGTTGAGGCGGGAGTGAGTGTCATACTCTTACTGACTAAAAACCACCCCGTTCCTTCTCCTGCACTTCGAGCCTTCCCGACGCGCCGTACGCTCGGGTTTGGTTTTGGTCGGACGGTGAGCCATCCACGCTCGCCGTCCGCAGGCCTGCGTTTACGGTGGCCGGAGATCGTCCCCTTTATTCATTTTATTAGTGTAGGACGACAAAGAGCAGATAGGTCACCCGAGCAATCGAGGCTATCCAATACCTGGGGAGCTATAAGTGCATTACCAGGCTTATGGGGATTGGGAATTCAGGGATTGAAATGAAAGATTATTTTTAATAAAACAATAATTAAACCTCTATAGTATTGCCTAATTCGTCAAGTGGTCGTAATCAGGCATTTGGTTCAATCTTTAGGTCTTACTTACAAGATATACTATAGAAACATTAAGGCACTGTACGCTAATATTTTTTTATATCTATGGTTTGAGGCATTTTTAACAAAAAGTTTTGTTTATGAACTTGCTAGCCCCGTTAGGACATATTATTATTTTATTAGATCTAATATAACTAATGAAATAGTTCAATGTATCACTGATGCATGAACATCTTATACAGGGCAATGGCTACAGACGAAGTTGAATTCCCTAGAATAGGTGTAAATGTATTATATGAAAGCCAAAGTCAAAGCATTTATTTCAATTAAACCATAATTTGGTATACTTTTGAAACGTCAACAAATACAAAATAAATGATAGTCTGTCAGTCAGTCCGTCAGTGAAGCTAGGTGAAGTTAGGTGCTCATTCCAAAATGTAGATTCGAATGGAGAAGAACGAGCAAGAAACTTCATTCAAAGTTACTTTTTTTAAAAAAAAGTATGTTCTTCAATGTCTCTGATACATATAACAATGTCTCTGAAACAGTTGTACTTCCCCGACTGAGCTGACTCATACCAAAACCAAACCTTACATATATCAATAAAACTTTACAATAAGTCAAAGTCATAATAATCAGATCATTTATTACAATTCGATCAATGTAAGGCACTTTTGAACGACAAATAATAATTATGATTTTGCAAAACGAACTCCCAATTCCACTAACATTCAAGACACTGGTGAACAAATTTTTTGAGGTTTCAAAAGAGTCTGTATAATTTATTTACAAAGAAGCAATTGATATAAAATACTTGATACAATTTTAGTTAAAATAAAGAAAAATGGAATACTTTACCGATTTAATGACTGAGATGCTGGGTGATTACATAATTTCTTCTCTAACACGATTAATAAGAATTTTTAAATTATAAGGGCCAAGGGTATATTTCGCAATGTCTAATTAAACATTTGCTATCTTAACCGAAGCATAGCTTGTGTCAGTTAAACAACAGATACTAAATGAGACATTGTGGAATAAACCCTAAATCGAAGTTAGTACGTTACGTACGTTAGTTAATAGAACGGATAGTTATTGACTCAAGATCAATTGAAAACTGCCAAGGAAAACTAGATTACAAACATAATTTATACGTGAAGCCTTTCCTGAATTTTTTACAGATTTTCCTTATATTTTCCAAGACTTCCTTAAGATTTTCTTCAAATGATTTTAGATTAATATTGTTTGTTAAATGATGATTTAAATACTGATAGTTTGTACTTACGATAGTTTTTAATTACAGTTCAATATCATGATCATGATTTCCTTCAGATAAAAATATTGTAATGTTCAATTGTAATTCAATTATGAAGATCTGATTAAGATAGCAGAAAAAAATATTACTTGAAAAATAATAATAATAATGTAATCATACATTTTGTCACAAAGGCAAAGCGTGACTTACGTTGAAGATAGCTACTTATATTCTCTCATTAAAGAAATGGTTGTAAATACAAATTTTTGGTAATTATTGGACTTTTTTTTCTAAAATTCTCAACCGAAGCTCTGGAATTACGCCATATTTCTGACTATATAATACTATAGTGCAAAAAGTGGACATGAATGCAATCACCTATATTAAACTGGATATGATAGATCTCATAAGTTTATGTTTTAGATGAATGAACAAAAAATACACATTGAACTACAAAACGAACTAAACTGTTCCTGATAAATATATCCAGACAAAATTAATGTAGCATTTTAACAAAACATAGATCTTATCATCATACATGATAATAATTTTAACCAGCCTTTGTATATGATGAGATAATATCATTTCAATTAGAATAAAACTCATAATAGATCACAATTTTAGTTAATTTAACTATAACAGCTGAGAGAAGCGAAACAAAATGATTCGCAGTAGTTTTGTATTGATTTTTGTGCTGACAAGTTTGGTGTCGGATGCTGTCAGTGACTGCGTGCGGTACACGTTCGAACAAGATTTTGATGAGCTGTTTACAACGGAGCTGGGTATTTGCAAGAACATGGACCTACCGCCATGGCAGATTGGAGAGTACAGCAGCTTGGGACTGCCCAGCCCTAATGAAGCAAGCAAGACATTTATAACACCTGGAGAACGAATGAGTTGTATTTCATCATTTCCCTTCCCGATGAGAGAAGGCGGCACACTTGAAGTGAAAGTTTATATTTACGATGCAGCTCTTACTGACCAAATCACAATAGCAATTAGTCAAATATTGATGTCTGGTAACACATGGGTAACTGGTACTTACGTGCATTCACCTTTGGAGCCAAGCTTTACTACAGGCTGGCACACTATCAAGATGACAGTACCGGGTCCAGACACACAACAAGGCTTTGTAAGTATAATCAAGTTTTCTAAATGGTATTTTCGTTGCATATACATGTAGATTCTTTGCTTTTATCTCTCATAGGTGATTCTCATTTTACAAGCGTTTTAGTTTTCATTTCTTGAACTTTTTAGCAAGGACTCAAAACTCAGGAGTTGTCTACCTTTTGGGTGTCCATAACTTCTTTCCTCGATACAATTATTTTCTTGGATAAATTTACTGGCTCTAAAATCAGATTTAAATAGAAATTATGCAGAAAGAAACTAACCGTGCAGTGAAATAATCTGGATTTTGCATTCAAAATATATATGATAATAAAATATATATGAGCGTAATTTGAAACAAGAAACATAATACAAGCGTTCGCACTTTTTGAAAATCTAAAGCGGTTCAAAACCGTGTCACCCTAGTGCGGTTAACCGCACCAGGCACTAGTTTTATCCACTTCCAGTATAGTTTTATAAATTGAGTGTTGTATTGATTTTCAATTTATTTGTTCCAGATCGCCATAACGGGTTTAGCATCATCACCTAATTCAATAGTACTGGTAGATTCATTCCGATACATACCACCTGGCATGGATGAATATTTATGTGAATTCTACGATCCTGTTGAACTGACTTCTACTCCGATTCCAACCACTACCCCTGAACCAACCACCACTCCTGAACCAACCACCACTCCTGAACCCACCACCACTCCTGAACCAACCACCACTCCTGAACCCACTACAACTCCTGAACCAACCACCACTCCTGAACCCACCACAACTCCTGAACCAACCACCAATCCTGAACCCACCACAACTCCTGAACCAACCACCACTCCTGAACCCACCACCACTCCGGAACCAACCACCACTCCTGAACCCACCACCACTCCTGAGCCCACAACAACGCCTGTACCAACAACCACTCCTGAACCAACGACAACAACCACTACTCCTGAACCTACAACCACTCCTGAACAAACCACAACAACCACTACTCCTGAACCTACAACCACGCCTGTACCAACGACCACTCCCGTTCCAACCATCGCGACTGAACCAACAACAACTCCTGAACCACCCACTCCAGCTCCCACCCCAGGCCCCACATTTCTACCAACCACTACATCCGAACCAACCATCATACCTGACCCTACCATCATTCCCGATACCACAACTACTTCAACCCCAGATTTCTGTCCACCTAATGAAAAACCCGACTCCTGGTTTTGGACCGTAGTTATTATTGGCATAGTATTACTTCTAAACATTATAGTATTACTCTTAACTTGTGTAATATTCTATCACCTTGGGTGGAAGAGGGCAGTCGCAGCTGCTATGAAGCAAGTCTAATAATCGCCAGTCTCGCAGTGCTTTTGCTGTTAAATAATGATTTATAAGAGTCGCATCGAAGTTATCCTGATTTTTTTTTGTTTTCGACTTTGTTCATTCACTGTTAATATTCATTGTGAAAAGGACCAGTTTATTTAACACAAATTTTTTGATTGTGATAATGAAAACGATTAAACATTAAACATTGTTAAAATAAAATGTGAATTGTAATATTATGGGTTTTATTTCATAATGTCTTTATGGATATAAAAATTGTTGATCTCCATTTGTTAATGTATTTTATTATTTTATTAGCTTATGTAATAAGTTAATAGAGAGGTGAGAGGTTTTACTGTAATTATCTTCATTCATTCTTCAATCGTTTTTCATTCATTTTTTTATAAAAATTTTGGTTAGACTTTCAGAAAGAGGATCTTGCTCAATATTACCAATTAATAATTCAAACGTGAATAAGAACAGAATTTGGAGAATTTGCCCAGTAAGCCTTGATGAAAATATGAATCCGAAATAATAAATCAGTTCGTTTATCTCAATTTAACTACCTAGGTGAATATAAACTAAAATTAAAAGTTAGTGTTTTTGAGACGTAGCGCTGGCGAAAAATATTTTTAGTCCTTTGGAGTTTGGGCTGCAAAACGCACAAAATTTATCCATACATTATGAACTTACCTCTATACCACTACTGGATTATCTATGACATTCTTTCGAATGAATGCAATTCGAATTCGAAAGCTATGCTTTTCTAATTTGAAGATGTACGTCGTCGAGAGATTGACAGTTTTGAGAGTTTTGTATCAAACAAATATGTATTTATATTAATAGACTTTGAAATTTACAACAAAATTTATTTTGGACTACTAGATGTACAAAGAAAAAGTTATTTCGAGTTAAAGGAAACATTTTTGGAAAATTTTCATTTCAATAAAAAAAAAACCAACCGAACCTTGGCATTTGGGACGAAGCGTTTTCAGGTAAAAGATAGCTAATGACCTCCCAAAATCCCTGAAAAATTGTGTTGGTCTATGCGCCAAACATCCTGCATATAATAATAAGTACATACATATATAACATCGCGCCTTTTATCCCCGAAGGGGTAGACAGAGGTGCACATTATGCCACTGTACAATGTAGCACCCACTTTTCACTATTTATGTTATGAGTCCCATGTAATAGGGGGGTGAGCCTATTGCCATATACCGGGCACAATTCCAGACTCCGTGCTACCACTGAGATTTTTTTTAAAAACTTTGTAATACTTTGTCCGACCCGGGAATCGAACCCGAGACCCCTTGCGCGGCAGTCGCACTTGCGACCACTCGGCCAACGAGGCATAATAATAAGTATAAGTACAAGTACAAGTATTAAAAGTATAATATCATATTATGTGCCCCAAGCTTGGGTTGAAACTAGTAGTAGTTCCTCGTTGGACAGTTACGTGAGTAAGCTGTTAAGAATATGCATGTGTACTGACACACTGATGCATATTCTTACGAATGCATGTGTAGATAAGGTACCTAATAAATTTAATTATGATATTGAAATAAAGGTGTTCATGACCTTTAATGAAGTACAACTTCATATCAGTTCAGTCTTGAAAATAATTCAAGGAAAATGTTGTCGATATAAAAACTTCCTTACATGTTAATTAATGAATAAATATTACTTTTGCTTGTTAGATAATTACGGTTTGATAGCCATTGTTTTTGTTTAGATAGATTATCAAGATGGTGATTGATGTCTTCGTATATTTAAGTATACCTTTGTTTACATTTGTAATCTGTGATCAAGTATTAAATTGCTATTATTTTAACAATTAATATGTTCTCTAGGTATGGTGATGGTGTTCCTACAGATTCAAACAATTGGGAAACAAAGACGTCGTTTTTCGCACTAAGAAAGTATGAACAATAATAGTTGATCAATGTAAGTTTACGATTTCATTCGGATATTTTCATCTGTTCACTGTTTGTTGTTTTTTAACGACTCTAATAATACATAGTTTGTAATAGAATAAATCACATTGTTGTTTGCAAAGTTCCGAGCTCGCAGTTATATGAAGAACAACCTCTTTATCTAACCTTCATCGAGTCTCAAAATATCATACTCTTTCTTACACATATTTCCAATTAATTTAATTATAGCTTATCAATACTGTTCATCGTGTTTTGATCATAATATGATTAGGTATGAGTGCCAGCGCAAATATTATATAAACTGAAATATTTCACTATTGTGTACAGTGACTGTTATAAGTTATAGTAAAAAATGGCTCTCAAGATTTTCTTTCTACTCAGTTTGTTAACTGCGTACGTCGTCAGTGATACCTGTGTCACGTACGATTTCGAAGAAAACTTCGACAATTTATTTAGTAGCCATGGTACGTGTTCAAACATACCTTCATCTTTATGGACTATCAAGGAGTACAGCGACTTCAGGTTAGCCAGTCCAAACGACCACAGTACTAAATTCATAACACCTTCAGTACATGGCCAAGTGAATTGTATTTCATCATTCCACCTGACGATGCACTCCGGTGGTGTATTTGAATTCAACGTCTACGTAGAACCAGCAGAAATAGGCGATCACATACAAATTATGGCCTTTTCTGACGAACCTGACAGTTTTTCGACTATAACAGGATTGTCCTTTATAAATTATTTTACTGGATGGCACACTGCGAGTTTTTCTGTAGTTGGTGCTGCGTCTTATAGAGGATATGTAAGTAATAATATTTTAATTTTAAGTGTACGGGCTTACTTTTATTTAAGTCCTCGTGTGTTATTCTGTGTTTTTTTTTTCTTTAACTTCACAAACCTAATTTTGTTTTTGTTGTCAATTAGCAATGTCTATGTTGAGTCCGTTTTTCGCTACCGTGGCCCATGTTATGTTGTCCTTATGTCAAAGTGTATATTATTTCTTTTTTCCAGATTGCTCTATTTAGCATGGCATCTCCCAACGCTACAATTTTGGTTGATTCATTCCACTATACACCACCTGGAGTGGATGGAAGTTCATGCCAGATTTATGAATAACCAACCATCGACTTCAAGTTAAAAACATCGACTGAAGCTTACACCGTTTTTCAGCCAATGTTGCTTTTCGGTATTGATTTTGATTTTAATTATGTCACATGAATTAATTTGCAATTAAATAAAGCATTGCTATGATATTTTCTTTTTCTTCCTTTGTTATCAAAATGATGTTATTAACAATTATTATTTTATTTTTGTTTTATTTATTTAAAAAATAATGTATAATAGTTTACGTGAATTACAGAGATTAAAGTTAATTGTAGGTGTCCCTTATTTCCTAGATTTAGTGAACATACGAACTGACGTAATAAAATTAATAAAATAAGATCAACAACAAACAATGACTTACTCAATCAGTAAGCTTTAGATTAGACTTAGATTTTGGAAAAATGATTTGAGATACGGAGTCGGTGTCCAAATTGCTATTAACACGTTGAATATTGTCTTTTTAAAATTTAGTTTTAGTGCAAGTAAACTACTACTAAGTAACTAATTTCGGTAAAGATATTGTTGTGTGTACGGGCAATGCGGGTCAGTACATAATTTTTTGCATATTTTGTCGAATGCCGAGGTACATATATCATATGCGTATGGCGAGTGCGTCTTCTGGGAACGTTTAACGTATATTCGAAATATTCAGTTCACCACAGATGAGGCATGCATAGAAATATTCTTAAAATACACATGAGTCTGAAGGAGTTGCTTCTCTCTTTTTTGCCAGGTCTCGTAGTGTAGTTGAAAAGTTTCTACAATACAGTTGTTGGAGTACTCTAACTGTTATAACTTGTGGTATCCGCTCGACCCCGTGCCGAGCACCTTTCCTGTCGATTTTTTTTTATACTTGATAGGTCGACGTTTTGCAAGTCACTTCTGGCACACCCATGTCGTGTTGACAGTTATTGAAGATCATTGACCTTAGGATCCACGTCCACTACAATATATGACGGCGAAAAGGGTACTAGGCGAGTTGCGTGCGATTCAGATAGCCATTTTCCACTGTAGATGGTAAATCACTCTACAGCGTTGGACGCCTGGTAGCCTTGCTATACAAACAGGTGCTCCATACTGGACCATTCGTGGACGTGGTGGCGAATATAGTCGTGGATTTTTTTAAATGGAATACCGGCCGGTATACGAGCAGAGGGATCACCTGATGGTAAGCAATCAACGCCACCCATGCACACTCAAAACACTAAAGGTGTTACAAGTGCGTTACTGGCCTTTTGGAAATTAGGAATTTGACGATTGTTGGGGATTCCGGGATTGGGGAGATTGGGGCGGAAGGTAATTGGGCCTCCAGTAACCTCACTCACAACGTAAGTGTTGTTTCACGTTGAATTTCTGTGAGGCTGTAGTATAACCCCGGTTGAGCTCGGCCGATTCGTGCCGAAGTATTGCTCTCCCACACTTAGATTATCGCAAAAGCTCTAATGTAGAGGAGGCTCGTAGTGCACTAACGGACTGTCACCAGGCTTTAACCAGAAGCAGAAGCAAATTGAGTAATTGTGGTGGAGATTGTGTTATTTATAAGCATTTTATCTACACATGTTATCTACCTATTGCAGCTGATTGTATTATAATTTTAGCTATAAATCACAGTTGATCATAACGTGACGAAGATAAGAATAAGGTATTCAACACAGGAAATACGTATTCATGCTATTTATATCTTGGTATCAGAAAAATCCCCGAAAGTAACTAAAAACATGTTTTTAACTCGTCGAGTACCGGTTTTGTAGACACAATTATAGAACAATAGGTTGCGGTCACCGGTGACCGCTTGGTGTTTGACAGTTTAAATAGGTTTTATAGGGGTTAGTCGTCTTTTTTAGTATCGACTTAGAAGACGAGATGAAAATCTTGCGACAAAAAGGTTATTGAAATTAAAAAAAGATTAATAGGGATGCACTATGTTAGGGTGCATGCTTAAAGAAATAGGTCTGTACGGGTCGGTCGGTACTGATTGGTGCAGTTCATATGGTAATATTATAGATAGATTATATTTAAATATTATATTTGCCCCGATTGATACCAGCCTGTACAGATTTGTCTCCCTTAAGAATGTTAATATTAGAAAGATACACACGTCAATATGCTCATTAGATACGGAAATCTTTGCCTAAACAGATAGAGGAATTTCCTAATTTTTGTTTAATGCATGTCGGGTAGTTTAATTTAAAACATTAGACGCGTCGAATATTTTTCAATTATCTAACTGAAGGACTAAGGACCGATTTTTCAATCAATGCACAACTGTAGAAAAAATTGACATTCGACAGTTCTAAGTATGGAAAAATTGTCAAATATTCAAAGATAAAATTTATCGTTAGATAAATCGGCCCCAAATAGATTATTAATTTTGATACCCTGACAACTACCCTATGGTTAGATCAGATCAGATATTGCTATCGTACCGGATACTCATTATTCATTATTTTCATATTAATGTCAGCTAATCACCGGATACAAGATATTATTATTCCTATATAAGATTTTATGCGCCATGCGTGATTTTTGCTCGACCGACCTTTGAATTTGATAGATTTATAAATTAAGATAGACCACTTATATCAAGATAGTGATTATGATTATAATTTAAGATTTCTGACTAATGACCATATACTCAAACATTACTCATTATCAAGTCGCGATTAATTATAGTTCTGTCACTCCTAATTCTTTGGAAAATGACGGAGATAGCTCGATTTTTAAGTACCAATAACCTAAAACTAAGTAATCTTTCAGTATTTGAGCGTTAGTCTAAGTAATGTGAAATTAAATTATGTTTATTTTTTGCGATAATGGTTCAATAGGAACTCAAATGGAACATATCCAGACATTTCGACTCAAAATGACCCTCGTCCGTGGATTATATAGACACTACACCTGTCTTATAGAAGTAGTACAGATTGTAACTCTATTGGTTTAACCAGCGGGTTATTGCTCGTCACCTGCACCTAACTGTTACAAAAATTTACAAATGATAATCATAATTATGATAAAATCATTGAATCCCTGTGCTCCGATGATAGTAATATGTGCTTGCAGTGAAGAAATCGAGGAGGTGGAATGCCATTATCTACTACTTTTACACTTAAACTTTATAACTATTTTGTCAAGTCTGATTGAGTAGGAGCAGAGAAAATCACAACTGGCTGAATTCATAGTTTTATCTTCTTTCTGAATAGACCGACAAGATTAACCGATTACATCCGCCTAGTATAATTGGTTATCATTTATGAATTAAGGTCCAATCAGTATCGTCCTGTTTTATCACACATCATGAGTTTGATTGATATATAAGCTAGAACAATTCATTAGATTGGGCATTGAACGGTTGCTATTGCGAGTTGCATTCATAGTCAAGCAAAATGGTTCTCAAGACCTTTATACTATTCAGTTTCTTCGTTTCGTGCGTAATCAGTGATTCCTGTGTCACATACAATTTTGAAGAAGGGTTCAATGACTTATTTGGTTACTACGGCTCATGTAACTCTTTTCCTTTGTGGCGACTCAGCGATTACAAGAGTTTGCCTTTGAACACTCCGAATGAGCACAGTACTAAATTCATAACACCCGAAACCAGTTGGATAAGTTGTGCGTCCTCATTCAATTTCACAATGAATGCGGGTGGTTCGATTGAATTTAACATTTACATGGAACAAACAGACAGCTTAGATCAGGTGTATCTTATGGCTTATCACATCGGACCCGATGGCATTGATTTTGTAATAGGAATGGAAGTTGTAAGACATCAGACTGGATGGGACACTGTGAAGATGCCTTTAGGCGGCCCAAGGACATTTACTGGTTACGTGAGTATCTTTATACAGCAAAATATTGTAGAGGGACTACCTATCCCATGTATAATGTACGAAAGTGTATATAATCATAAGCTGAGGTACTAAAATATTTTCTTTGGTCAGTTGTGGTTTACTTCGCCGTTAGTGATTATAAAAATTATATCTTACAGTGTAGTTCATTTTTTACATAATATGTTTCTGGTTATGGTTACGTTTTGTTAGGTAACTTTTGTTCTTGGTTGCAATTTATTACATTATTGTCTATAGAAACTAAGTTAGAATACCAGTGTTGTTCTGCCAAATAATACCAATGCAGTTGTGTTCGTTTAATCATTTTTTTTTGTTTTCTACAGGTTTCCATTTTCGGCTATTCGGCTCGTAACTCTAAAGTACTGATTGACTCATTCCGCTACATACCACCTGGAGTGGATGCGAGTTCGTGCCAGATCTACGGATAATCAACTACACGACCGTTGACAACGACCTCCGAGATAAAGTTAGCTGACCCAAAACTCTTTAAGCAACCAATGATGAAGAAGAACTTATAATGCAACCATGACTTTTTATGAATTTTCTGTATAAAAAGTTATGAATGTCAGTAACTACGTTTATGGTTGATTGATAAATTGTACTTTAATAAAAAAATAATTTGAAATAAGGTTGATTTTTATTCATCATCTGTGTAAATTATGTCTCCACATTGATGGAGGTGTCACAACTGTGACTGCTGAGCTAGAAGTCTTGAATTCAATTCTCCAGTCGCACGGATTTTAAGCAATATTATGTAGATAGGTGATGCTTAAAATATAATCGGTAGTGAGGCTAAAATCGATGAAAATGTTATTGCTAAAATAGGATTTTGATACCAATTGTTTATTACTTAAATTGATATCATCTAATCACCGTATACAGGATATTATTATCCCTATAGAAGATTGAATGTGTCATTTGATAATCTCATTCAATGATGATAGGATATTTATATAAATACTAGCGACCCGCCCCGGCTTCGCACGGGTGCAATATGCATGTATTATACATACAAACCTTCCTTAAGAATCACTCTATCTATTAAAAAAAACCGCATCAAAATCCGTTGCGTAGTTTTAAAGATCTAAGCATACATACGGACATACAGCGAAAGCGACTTTGTTTTATACTATGTATTGATGTTGACAATTTAAGATAATTTATGATTAGGTGTACGAGTCTAGTCTTCTTAATTTAAATTTATTTTTTCTAATTATATGTAATGAATGCATTACAGCCGTTTTTTATGATAAATTGGATCCGCTCTCCTGAGGGACACGAAAGAAACTGCTGACTGTTTCTTTCAAAGTCAAAGCATTTATTTCAATTAAACCATAGTTAATTTGTTACTTTTGAAACGTCAACAAATACAAAATAAATAATTCAGTCAGTCCATCAATGAAGCCAGGTGAAGCTAGGTACTCATTCCAAAATGTAGATGCGAATGGAGAAGGAGAAAGAAACTCGTATCGTTACTCTTTTTAAAAAAATCTTTGATATGACAGTCACTTTGATTTATTTAAGTCTGAACTCTTACTGAGTAAAACCAATATGGTGTTCAATGTTACCCAGTGGCATCAAGGAGTGGCTTGAGAGACTTTACGACGTCCTCACCTACCGCCTGACGCAGGTGCTCACCGGACACGAAAGTTTCGGTAGGTTCCTGTTTCGTATTGAGCGGGGGCAGGGAGCATACGGTGGTGGTACGACGACGGTGATCTCTCGCGTCCGGCTAGCGAGGGGGATTGGGATACCGACTCTTTCTTCAGCGAAGCAGTTATGCTAGCTAAGGAAGAGGCGGGGTTCGTGGGGTAACGAACCTCCTCACGCCCCAGCAGTCGTGTGAGACATTTTGGACGTTCGCACGGCGCGTCGGTCGAGTTCCACGCGCGCCTCAAAGAGCCATCAGGCCAATACAGATAGGGCCCAATAGAGTTGATGCCGATATGGAGCCGCGGAAGACTTAATGGGTTACTCGGGCTCCGGCTCGAAGTGCGGGAGCAGGAACGGGGTAGTTTTTAGTTACTAAGAGTCTGAGTCGTCTGAGTCTCACTCGAGTGAGAGAAGTCATTGGAAGATTTTCCCCCTCAAATAAAGATAAAATAAATAAATAAAAATAAATAGATAAGAAAAGAAATAATATAGATAGCGATGATTTTTTTACATGATCACATAGCTTGTACAAGTTTAAAAGATGAACTTCAGTGGACAATCCGCAAGCAAACATAACTCCAAAAAGGGTTTCACTACGCCCAAAATTGATATTTATGCGTGCTTTTAAAATGCTCCTCATCATCCTTATCCTTATTTGGAATCGAATAATGAATTTTGTTCTCAAATGGGAGTTGTAGGTATAATATGTGCTTTTCACTTTTCACTTTTGTAATGGAAGAGGCAGAATAAGAATACCATGATATTTTTTGTGTTTGCAAGGCGGTGTCGACCGGAACAGATTACGATTGAGTGGTTCCGAAGTTGTGGATGAATGATACGACGAATTAAGCTGGTCAAGCTATTACATCCGCCTGATATATTTGTTTATCATTAATGATTTGAGTTCTTATCAATATCATGACATTTTTGCACAATTATGTCAAACAAAATGGTTCTCAAGATTTTTATCAACCAAGTTCAAGAAAAAGGAGGTGGTTCTCAATTCGACTGTATTTTTTATGTTTATTACTCGATAACTTGAAGACGACTGAACTGATTTCAAATTTTTTTTTTATTTGATAGGATAAGCTCGTTATTTTCGTTCCATTGTTATTAGATCAGGGCTTGATTGTGGAATACCAGGAAAACTGAGGACCTTTTAAAAATTACAGGGGCTGTACAGTCCTAAAATGACCGACGTACATATTTTGTTTCTATAAATACCGATACAACATAATAAATGAGTGAGTGCAATTACTGCAACGCGGTAACCAACATTAGAGAAAGGAATCGTCAACAGTTTTATTGTGAACACAATTAAACGTTCTAAATCTAACTAAGTGAATCTTTTCTCTTCGCGCTCCAACCTCAACAAACACGCTGCAAGTGTACGCACCGTACAGGGGCAACTAGAGCATTAATTCTTTCAGTAAGTATTTTTCTATGGAGTAGGAGGCAAACGAGCAGACGGATCACCTGATGGTAAGCGATCAGCGCCGCCCGTTAAGTATTTAAAAACACTAAAATCTGATAGGTCTGTGACCCCGTGTTTGAGCTTGAATTATTTGTTTTGATGAGAACTTTACACTTCGATGGAGTGTAAATTGTCATTAGGGGTCTGATGGTAAAGTAATACGATAGGCTAAGGAACTCCTCAACGGTAAACGGTAGCTTTCTTTTATTATGGATTATATCTGTAACTATTACCTAAGTTACATTTTGTTATAGGTTTGTGACACCAACTTTTCACCTATCAGTGGGTGTATAAGCTATAAGCACGAGTGAAAAATAATAGTTAATTTTTGCTTTTTACTTTTTAGTCAGTGTGTGAAAGGCCACACGTAGCCTGTAATCCTGAGTCACGATCGATTTTGAAAATGGCTTCAATGATTTGTTTGGTTGCAAACGCATATGCAGCTCTCCAATACCTTTATGTGATTACCACAGTTTGGGTTTGGCCAGTCCAGATAGCCGCAGTTCTAAATTTACAACACCTTAAATCTAAAGGAGAAGTTGTACAGCATCAATTATGTGATATAGGCGGGTTGTACGGTTTTGAATTTAACCTTTACATAAAACAAGCAGACGATAATATGAATAAGATAATCGTTGAGGCCTACCATATTGTACCCGAAGGTGGATCCATTTCGTGATAGGGGGTAGCAGTTGTAAGAAATCGGACTGGGTGGGACATTGTGAAAATGCCAATTAGTTGACCCAAGAACTTTTACTGGCGACGTGAGTATCTTAATATCTATTTATATCTACATACATATAATAAAACTGTAGAAGTGTAAATTCTGTTCTATGAACTACTGAGGTGTTACTAGACAGAAACCGAACCCAAAAACGGGATTAAAATTTTTTTGTCTATCTGTCTGTCTGTATGTTCAGACATCACGCAAAAACTACCAGCCCTATTATGATGCAACTTGGTATGACTGTACTATACCATTATGGAAATCATTTTGGGTCCTTTTTATTCTGAAAAAATATATATAATATTGAAAATTAAATTTAATTGTGCGGTTTGTCGAATGTTAGTTTGCCCGCTGTGGAGCTGACACTCCAACCGAAGGGCCGATAGTCGAAATTAGCTTGAATCACGATTAGAAATTCGATAATTCGTAAGTTTGTGTGTATGTTTGTTACTCAGTCACATCAAAACAGCTGAAGGGACCCGAATGAAATTTCGAACAGAGGTAGACTATGATCTGAAGTAATACATAGGCTCTACACCTGGGGACGTCGACGAAGTCCCTGGTAGAAGCTAGAGTACAATATGATTAATACTATGTGCCAAATTATCTTATCCAATCAGTATCGTGTCACGTTTTATCACTCAATCATGAGTTTGATTGATATATATAAGGTACGACAATTCATTACAGTGGACATTGAATGGTTATGGTTATTGCGCGTTTCATTTATAGTCAAGCAAAATGGTTCTTAAGATTTTTATAATATTCAGTTTGTTGGTCTCGTCTGTTATCAGTGATTCCTGTGTCACGTTCGATTTCGAAGACGGTTTCAATGACTTGTTTGGTCACTACCGCGGCTCATGCACCCCTTTTCGATTGTGGCATGTCAGTGATTACCACAGTTTGGGTTTGGCCAGTCCAGATAAGCGCAGTACTAAATTCATAACACCCGAAACCAGTTCGATGAGTTGTGCTTCCTCATTCAATTTCACAATGAATGCGGGTGGAACCATTGAATTTAACATTTATATGGAACAAACAGATAGTTTAGATCAGGTGCATCTTATGGCTTATCATATAGGCCCCGATGGTTTCGATTTTGTGATAGGAATGGAAGTTGTAAGACATCAGACTGGATGGGACACTGTGAAGGTGCCTTTAGGTGGACCAAGGACATTTACTGGTTACGTGAGTATCTTTATGCAGTAAAATATTGTAGAAAGACTATAATATATGTCCTATGTATAATGTACCAAAGTTTATGTAATCATAAGCTGAGGTACGATAAATATTGTCTTTGCTCAGTTGTGGTTTGCTTCGTCGTTACAAAAATCGTTCAGCGCAATAAACACTAAATATTTTCCCACTTGTTAGTGATTACAAAAAAAAAAATATTTTATAGTGTAGTTGGTCTTTCACATATATTTCTGGTTATGTTTTGTTAGGTAACCTTTGGGCATAACTTAAGATTTTTTTACATTAGTATAGAAACCAAGCTGTAGTAGATTACCAGTGTTGCTCTGCCAAATAATAACAATGCAGTTGTGTTCGTTTAATCATTTTTTTTTGTTTTTTTACAGGTTTCCTTATACGGCTATTCGGCTCGTAGCTCTAAAGTACTGATTGACTCATTCCGCTATATACCACCTGGAGTGGATGCGAGTTCGTGCCAGATATACGGATGAACAACTACTGCCTTCCAGATAAAGTTAGCTGACCCAAAACTCTTTAGACGACCAATGATGAAGAAGATCCTACGGCCTAATAAACGCAATCACGATTTTTTATGAATTTTCTGCATAAAAAGTTATATAAGTGTCAGTCACTTCGCCTGTGATTAATTGCTAAATGATGTGTTAATAAACAAATTATTGAATCAGTTGGATTTTTATTTATCATTTGTGTAAATTATGTCTACCTCACTGATGCTTAAAATATAATCGGTAGGGAAGCTGAAATACATGAAAATAAAATTGATAAAATAGAACTTGGATACCCATTGTTTATTACTTAAATTAATATCACCTAATCACCGGATACACGATATTATTATCCCTACAGAAGATTGATTGAGTCATGTGTAATTTTTCCGCAACAGATCTGTATATTTGATAGCGTTATTAAATGATGATAAAGTATTTATATCAAAATGTTGACAATTTAAGATAATTTGTGATTAAGGGTACGAGTCTGGTCTTCTTGTTTTGAATTCACTTTTTTAAATTATATCGTTTTCATAATAAATTGTATCCGCTCGCCTGAGGGAGACGAAATAAACTGCTGACAGTTTCTTTGAGTCTAAACTCCAATTGACTAAAAGCACAATGGTGATTAGTGTTGCCCAGTGGCGTCCAATGATGTGTGTCTACAAATAGATGTTTTTTTACAGGATTACATAGCTTGCACAGGTTTTTAAGATGAACTTCAGTCGACAATTCGCTAGCAAAGTCAAAGTCATAGCATTTATTTCAATTAAACCATAGTTTGATACTTTTGAAACGTCAACAAATACAATATAAATAATAGTCTGTCAGTAAGTCCGTCAGTGAAACTAGGTGAAGGTGCTCATTCCAAAATGTAGATTCGAATGGAGAAGAACGAACAAGAAACTCCATTCGTTACTCTTTTTTAAAAAAAGTATGTTCTACGACGGATTAAACTTAAAAAAGAGCTTCACTTAGCCGAAAATTGATATTTATACGTGCTTTTAAACTGCTCCTTGTCATGTTAGTTGAAATCGCATACTGAATTCTGTTCTCAGATAAGAGTAGTGTGCTTTCACTTTAGCAATGAAAGAAGACCATGATATGTTAATGTTTGCAAAGCTGGATCGACCGGAACAGATAACGATTGAGTGGTTCCGAAGTTTTATATGAATGAACTGACGGGTTAACCTGTTACATCCGCCTGATATATTTGTTTATCATTTGATTCACCTGATACATTTCTATCGTATATCGTCAGTTGATTTGATACAATTATAAACTTAAATATATTATTAGAATGTGCATTGAACGGTGTCCAACTGTGCGTTGCATATGTCAAAGATGAGAACACTTCGATGGAGTGTAACTATCTTTAGGGTCTGATGATGAAGTAGTTCTATAGTTCAGGGACCTCCTCTTTATAGTAGCTATCTTGTATTATGGATTATACCCGCAGCTTCGCTCGCGTCACAAAAGGATAAAAAGTAACCTATGTGACATATACCAATACACACAGCGCCATCTATACCAATAATTTTGTTTTCCCTCGGGAATATCTAATTTTTCCGGGATAAAAAGTACCCTCTTATTCAATCCGGACTTCTAACTTAAAAGCAATCGGTTTAGTAGTTACGGCGTGAAACCGGAACAAACAAACTCACTTTCCGATTTATAATATTATATAGTAAGGATAAGGATACCTGTGACCATTACCTAAGTTACATTTTGTTATGAGTTTCTGGCACTGACTTCTCACATATTAATGGGTGTGTAAGCTATAAGTACGTGTAAGTGTATTTGTGATACGTAGGCAGTAATTCCTGAGTCACGTTCCATTTCGTTGACGGCTTCAATGAGATGCTTGGTACAAACGCATATGCAGCTCTCTTAGTAGGTTCCCGGGGCTCCGGATTGAGGTGCAGGAGTAGGAACGGGGTGGTTTTTAGTCAGTAAGTCTGGCACTCCCTCTCGCCTCATCCAGGCGGGAGAAGTAATTCGATGATTTTACCCCTTAAAAAATGCAGCTCTCTTATACCTTTATATGATTACCACCACAGAACATATAAAGAAGGCTAGAAAGGAAATAGTTCCTGATTTGTATTAGAACACGCGTCGCCGTTTGTCCCCCACTCTTTAACTTTACTACAAGCAAGAGACCAATACCTACGCGGAAAATGCACACAAATAAACAACACGCACTAGGTTAAAAGATTTGTTATTGGTCGTCACACTGACGCAATCACTTCGTTTGACATACACTAATACAGGCGTAAAAAACTCATATATGGTAGGGGGAGCGAAAGGTCGATTATTGATATCGATAAAATTAATGGCATCTAGCTTCTTAATTTACATGTATTGTGGACTATGCGGATTTGTATAAGGCATATTGTGCACATGTATTTACGTTAATGTAAATAACTATACATAGAAAAATACATAACTGATTTTTAAAATCAATTACATTATTAACATTAAAATAATTTGACATGGAATATAGTTATAAGTAAATTGTTGATTGGTAGTAATCAAAAAAGTATAAAAACCCGAAAAGGTATTATTTCGATTTTGTTTTGTTTTCAACTGTAAGTTTTATAAAAATAAAAGGAGTCTGGGAAGTCATGGGGTCAAAAATAATAGATTTTTACTTAATTCAAAATATATAAAAAATAGCTTAATTTCTCCCTAAGGAATGAAAAATCATAAAATAATGAAATATTGAGAATTATCATAACGTAACCATATCATGATATATCTAATCTGTGCTCAAAACTCTGTTATTGTCTCTGTTAGATATCATCATGACATTCGTATGATGACAACCGATAATCGTCGTTCGTATTTCTTTAATAGTTAATATAAATAGGAATTATTATATAGTTTCGGTTACATAATTTCCTTTACTGAATGTGAGTGGTGTGCAAATTAACTTAGAAAGTACGTATAAGTTGTATGAAACAGCGCCGCAACCTCCAGGCCAACACAATATTTAGCTCACGTAAATTAAGTCAGCTCTAAAAGCTCTGAAAACTAGAAAAGTCATCAAGTGTACATAGCTATTCTTAAAAAAGGTACAATACAATCGCTCCCAGGATATAATGTCATCTTATTTGTTGTCATAGCTTTGTTCTCGAATAGAAAACCTCAACAACTATTTTAAATTATTGACTAAAATTTCGGCTGGCTTTTAAGAATTTCTCATAGTTTCAACTATTTACAATTTGGGCCTAAGCATGTATGAAAGAGTATCCATCTTACGAAAAATGATTTAGATGTCCCTTAGATGATATCAAGGTAGAAATGTAAAACAAAATTTCCTAAATCATAAAATCAGTCTACTTACTGAACAAAACATAACGAATACATAAAAAATTATATAAAACTGAAATACGAATAAAATGCCTCACTTAAAACCTATTTCATAATTAGTCGTAATAAATAAAATTATTTTAGTTATAATGTGTATAATTTGATAATAATCCTTTGTATCATAGTAATTATCGACATTGTTTACAAATTGACACTTCTCTATATCGATTCGAGGAAATGACGTTTTGATTTGATACTCGGGACTCTCGTTGTGAACGTAATACATTGCGCGATCGTTTATGTAGTGCAAAACGGTACGTATCTATTGCAAGCAATGTATACTGCTTGCGATAATGTCGTTTTTGTCTAGAAACGTCATAATATTAATGTTATAATTACAAATATCACAAGTATATTAATGTTTTTGAAGTCACTGGTGGAAAGAAATCCCTTCTCGTGCTACATTGCACACCTGTCTTCTTTTCCGACACATTACAATAGTCCAAGACGGCATAATTTAATATTATTTGCGGAGTTTCGTACGCTGTCACAACAACATTGCGTTTGATGGCCGGTTTTTGACATTTTGGTAGATTTGGAGCATTTGCTCATAACCGCGGCACGCGTGTACCGCCCACAAGGCCGTTCTATCCTCCTTTATATGTTCTGTGATTACCACAGTTTGGGTTTGGACAGTCTAGATAGGTGCAGTTCTAAATTTACAACGCCTCAAATCTAAAGGAACAGTTGTACATCATCGTTCAATTTTGTAATGTAGGCGGGTTGTACGGTTGAATTTAACTTTCATGTGGCATAACCTTCGCCTACCATATTGGACCGGAAGGTATCCATTTCGTGGTAAGAGTAGCAGTTGTAAGAAATCAGACTGAATGGGACGTTGTGAAGATGTCATTAGGTGGTCCATAAACTTTTACTGCCTACGTGAGTATCTTCATATGTACAATATAATAAATACTATGTGCTAAATTATCTTATCCAATCAGTATCGTGTCATGTTTTATCATTCAATCATGAGTTTAATTGATATATAAGCTACGACAATTCCTTTGATTAGGCATTAAACGGTTGCTATTGCGCGTTGCGTTTATAGTCAAGCAAAATGGTTCTCAAGACTTTTATAGTAGTCAGTCTGTTTGTCTCGTCTGTAATCAGTGATTCCTGTGTCACGTTCGATTTCGAAGACGGATTCAATGATTTGTTTGGCTACTACGGGTCTTGTAACTCTTTTCCTTTGTGGCATGTCAGTGATTACTACAGTTTGGGTTTGGCCAGTCCAGATAAGCGCAGCACTAGATTCATAACACCCGAAACCAGTTGGATAAGTTGTGCATCCTCCTTCAAATTTACAATGAATGCGGGGGGAACCATTGAATTTAACATATACATGGAACAAACAGACAGCTTAGATCAGGTGTATCTTATGGCTTATCATATCGGACCCGATGGCATCGATTTTGTAATAGGAATGGAAGTTGTAAGTTATCAGGATGGATGGGAAACGGTGAAGATGCCTTTAGGCGGCCCGAGGACTTTTACGGGTTACGTAAGTATATTAAATACGTAAATTTTGTAGGAAGACTATCTGTCCCATATATTATAATGTACGAAAGTGTATGTTATCATAATTAAGCTGAGGTACTATACATATTTTCTTTGGTCAGTTGTGATTTACTTCGTCGTTATAAAAATATGGTTTAGCGGAATAAAAAATGAATATTTTCCCAGTTGTTATTGATTATAATAATTATATTTTATAGTGTAGTTGATTTTTATACCTATATTTTTATAATTATGGTTATGTTTCATTAGGTGACCTTTGTTCTTGACTTAACATTTTTTTTACCTTAGTACAGAAACCAAGCTCTGGTAGACTACCAGTGTTGGTCTGCCAAACAATAATAAGGTGCTATGTTTTTTTCAGGTCTCCATATTCGGCTATTCGGCTCGTAACTCTACAGTACTGATTGACTCATTCCGCTACATACCACCTGGTGTGGATGCGAGTTCGTGCCAGATCTACGGATAATCAACTACTACTGCTACTGAGATAAAGTTAGATGACCCGAAACTCTTTAGCGGATCACTGATGAAGAACTACTTATAGCCTAATAAATACAATCACAACATTTTTTTGATTTTTATGAACATTTTGAAAAAAAAATATTAATTTCTACACCACGTGAAATTAAAGAAAGCGATGCGTTTCGTCGTGCGTTAATGTTTTTCTTTTGTGGAGAACAAAGTTTGTGATAGGACGTAAAGAAGAAAGGAATGGGATCATATTGTGTTGATCCCAAGTCACTTGGGGTAAGGTCTAGCAAAAGCAAGAGATATTGAATAGGAAGAGTTTACAATCGTAGTCATAATATGTTAATATTTGCTTAAAGGAAATGTCAGAGATTGTATACCCATTGTTCATTATTTAAATTAATATCACCTAATCACCGGATACACGATATTATTATCCCTACAGAAGAATGAATGAGTCATGTGTAATTTTTCCGCAACAGATTTTTATATTTGATAGCCATATTGAATTATCATAAGCTACTTATAACAAAATGTTGACAATTTGAGATAAACTTATGATTAAGTGTTTGAGTCTGGTCTTTTTGTTTTGAATTCAAATTTTCTAATTATATGTCATGATTGCATTACAGTCGTTTTTATAATAAATTGAATCCGCTCGCCTGATGAAAGACAGTTCTGACAGATTCTTTGATATGACAGCCACTATGATTTCTTTTTGCTGAATTCTTACTGACTAAAACCACTATGGTGTTTAGTGTTGCTCCGTGGCGTCCAATGATGTGTGTTCGGAGAGAGATGTTTTTTTTACAGGATCACATAGCTTGCACGAGTTATTAAGATGAACTTTAGTGGAAAATTCGCAAGTAAAGGAAGTAATAAGATGCTCATTCAGGTCAAAAGTGGCCATCACTGACATAAGGAAGCATGCGCGGGCATGTATCTATCATAAAGAAGGTCACTTTGAAAAAAATTTAGTAAATAATGATGTTTTTGAAATTGCCCGTTTTCTTTTACACTCTACTTCATCAAGTTATTGATTTATTTTTAAGAATTGTAGGTTTTTGGGTAGCTAATAAACCAAAGCAGTTTTTCTAATATTTTTTACGTTTGGTGTAAAATCATTTTTTTTACGTAAATGTGGTTTTTTATTGACCAAATTAGTGACTCAAAGTAAAATTTGATACTAATTTACTTCCTATTTTAAACCGAATGATATTACTGTTAATTTTAGTCTTAATGAATGTTTATTGATGTATTGACAATAAATTACAACCAAAATCATATAAATCAAACGTGTAGTTTTTTATTTGTTTATGTTTTTTTTTTCACCAAAACCGAAAATATATCAGAAACGGCTAGTTTCTAGTATATTTTCGCCATTATACTTAGCCACGGACTAGGGACCTCATGGCTACTTTTGTAGGACAGTAGCTGTATACCTCCCGAAAATAATACGTCAAGTCACAAGTTGCCCTATAAAATATATCAGCGTGCTTTTAAATTGCTCCTTATGATATTAGTAGAAACCGAATAATGAATTCTGTTGTTAGATGGGAGTAGTATGTGTGCTTTTACATTAGTAATGGAAGAGGCAGAATATCTCAATTTTATTGGTTAGATACGTGAGTACCTTTATACAGCAAAATATTGTAGAAGGACTATAATTATGTCCCATGTATAATGTACGAACGTGTATGTAATCATAAACTGAGGTACTATAAATATTTTCTATGGTCAGTAGTGGTTTACTTCGTTATTATAACAGTCGTTCAACGGAATATAAACTTAATATTTTCCCAGTTGTTAGTAATTATAAAAATATATTTTGTAGTGTAGTTGATTTTTTACATATAGGTATTTCTGGTTATGGTTATGTTTCGTTAGGTAACCTTTGCTCTTGGTAATAACTTAACATTTTTTACATAGTATATAAACCAAGCTGGAGATTACTAGTGTTGGTCTGCCAAATAATAAAAGGCAGTTATGTTCGATTATTGCTGTGTTTAGTGCTGATTGATTCATTCCGCTTCATACCACCTGGAGTGGATGCGAGTACGTGTCAAATCTACGGATAATCAACTACTGCCTCCGATAAAGTTAGCTGACCCAAAACTGTTTAGCGGACCAATGATGAAGAAAAACTTATGTCCTAATAAATGCAATCAAGAATTTTCTATATAAAAAGTTAGTACGTGGTAGTTGTCAGTCACTACGCCTATGGTTGATTGATAAATGGCGTTTTAATAAACAAATGATTGAAATAAGGTTGACTTTTATTTTTCATCTGCGTACATTATGTCTACCTGGCTGAGTAATTATGTCTTACTTACCTGACTGTACGGTTGGTGCGGTGGCTGGGCAACCGGCTGCCGTGCAACGTGTTACGGGTTCGATTCCCGCACGGAACAACACTTTGTGTGATCCACAAATTGAATCTGGGTTTCGGGTCTGGGTGTCATTGTGTATGTGAACTTGTATGTTTGTAAATGCATCTACGACACAGGAGAAAATCCCAGTATGGAGCTAAGTTCTTTTTTTTTAAATAAATAAAGAAAAACCTCATTGATGGACGGGTCATAACTGTGACTGCTGAGCTAGAGGTCTCGAGTTTGGTTCTCCAGTCTTACGGAATCTAAGCAACATTATTAAGATAGGTAATGCTGGTGATGATGATAAGTGATGATTAAAATGTAATTGGTAATGAAGCTGGAGTAAATGAATATGAAATTGCTAAAATACGACTTCGACGACTACATAGTTCGCAGAAGTACCTAAGTTCAATGATGTGCATTACAAGAAAACCAAAGGGTCTGATGATGAAGAAGTGTAAATGTTAAGGGAAGTCCTCAGCGGTATCTTGTGTTTGGGCTTGATTCATAATATATTGATGAGAACTGTACACCTAGATGAAACGGGACTGTTATTAAGGGTCTGATGATAAATAAGTGTAATTGTTAAGGGAAATCTTAAACGGTTTATAGTATCTACCTTGTGTTTGGGCTTGTATAATTTGTATTGATTAGAACTTTGCACCTGTGTGGTTTATAAGTGGTAAAACGGATCTATGTATCTTTACACAAAAAATGTTAAAATAAAAAAACTGCGTTCTAAAATATGACTTCAAAAAACCAAAATCTGATAACAAACAAAAAATACCAAAAGCAAAAAAGAACTATTAGTAGTAATGGTAGGTTACCCATCCATTGGTAGGTTAGAAGTTGGTTGCCAAAAGTTTTATACAATATTATCGATGCAGTATTAGAAGTTCGATTCCCGGGTTGAGCAAAGAATAAATGGGTTTTTAAAAAATTCTCAGTAGTAGCACGGAGTCTGGAATTGTGCCCGGTATGTAGGCTCACCCCCTATTACATGGGACTCATTACACCAATAGTGGAAATTGGGTGTTACATTGTACAGTGGCATTAAGTGCCGTAATGTGCACCTCTGCTTTCGGGGGTAAAAGGCGTAATGTTATGTTATTAGAAGGTAGCTACAAAATGTTGAATATTGAAGGTAACTATGACAGCTGGCAGGTTGGAGATCAAATGGCGTGAACACTTAATTTTTTTATTATATTTATTTGGGAAAACAAACAATACCACATTACATGATACATTATGATGACACAATACATAGGTAGTTCGAACAAATGTGTAACCAACAGCGTTTTCCACAAAATATAAATGAAATCATAAATACCATCACACCGCCTTATATAAATAAAAAATAAAAAGAAAATATAAATCACATTACGCCTTTTGATCCCTGAGGGGAAAGGCAAAAGTGTGACATTTAATGAACGTTGACTCACTCTAGGATTTTTTCCTGGGTCGTGGGTGCGGTTACAAACATACAAGTTCACATACATATGACACCCAGACCCGAAACAACAATCTGTGGTTCACACTAAGAGCTGTTCCGTGTGGGAATTGAACCAGCGACACGTTGCCACCGCGCCAACCGTGCAGTCATATAAGCAGTTATTGTGCTTACCAAAAGTTAAGAAAAAAATACACAGATTTAAAAATTAAATGTAGAATCACCAATAGACCGAGCAGCAGACTTAATCCATGTGACGTCATCAAGTTAAAGTGACTAAAGAATTTTTTCCTTCTCTGTCCAATTTGAAATGCATTAAGATAAAAGTAAATAAGTAAATGCAAATAATAATTAATGTTGAAAGGTTGTTCTTCTTAAGTTCACTTTCCTATGTCAATCAACCAATTCGTTTATGCTATCCGATTACCAGCACCAGACTAAATAGGGGCAGTGTTCTTTTTTTTGTCATACAATAGTATAGTAATGGAGATTTGGCCATCTCTAGTACTTTAAATGGAGATAATATAATGCAGTTAATACCCCCTTTGGTGGGCCCAGCAAAGGCTAGTTGACCGACTGCACAACAGGTTGTGGATTTAATTCCCGTTTGGAAATCTTCGGGTGATCAACAAATTGTAGATACGGGTGTAGCAGTCATGTACAGTGCACGTGAAATTATGTATTCACATGCTTTACCCATAAAGGTTTTTTAATTTTTTAATTGAATTGAGGGTTAATGTGGAGATGGCTCACCTGATGGTAAGCAATCAACCGCGTATGGATACTCGCAACACTAAAGGAGTCAGAAGTGCGTTATGGGCTCTTTAATTTAGTAAAAATATGATCAGTATCACATGCAAGTAAAAGAACTGTTTTCTGATAACGTTGGACTTGAATTAAGCCGAATTAGTATGAAATGAGGAAAAATATTTAAAATGAAAAATAAAAGGAAAAAGATGAAAATTTTATACTACAGATATCACCGAGACTTCCTTACATGCAACTTAATGCGTTACACGTAATTTTACTTATTCCCCAGATATTTGAGATTTGATAGCCATTATTTTTAATTAGATGATGATATGGCGATTGTGATTAATTTTAGGATAGAAATGAAATATAATGAACTACGCAGCGCAGTTTCCTGTGTTAAGTTAATTATGCTGGTTTTCTTGTACTTTTTTTTCTAACATTATGGTTATTAACATACTACCCTAGTCAGAAGCAGATTAAACCTAGAGAGCGCCTTAGGCAGACACCACAAAGGAGCCACTATTTTTTTTTTTTGGAGCCTCTGGCACTCTATGCGCATTTGGGTTCACGTGTCTCGTGGCACCTCTGTAATCTAGCCCCCTAGAAACTTGCCTGTTTGTTTACCTTGGGGATAGATAATAAGGCTCTGCCCCTAGCCAAATATTGTTAACGTCATTATAGTAATAAGTATGTCAATAGAGAAGAGGGATTATCATAAAAGCTTACGTCTTTATCGTACATGTATCACTGTAAATCCTATACATTATCTATTATACATGAATAGAATTTATACTATTCATTTAGCCGGATGTGTGTGGTGGCCCGGAGGATATGACGCCCGCTTCTCATGGATGAGGTTGCGGGTTTGAAACCTACCAACGGCAGGTACCAATGTGACTTTTTCAGAGTTATATGTACTTACTAAGATTTTTTAAACGTCACTGACAAACGATGAAGGAAAACACCGTGAGAAAACCTGGCCTTATAATTTTTATTTATAATTTTTATTTTTATTTATTATTCAGGAATTAGGAAGATTGGGGAAGGGGAGGGTAATTGGGCCTCCGGTAACCTCACTCACACGACGAAACACAACGCAAATGTTGCTTCACGTCGGTTTTCTGTGAGGCCGTGGTATCACTCCGGTCGGTCGAGCCGGTCCATTCGTGCCGAAGCATGGCTCTCCCACACTTAAAATACAATTGTATAATCTTGTGAATAGCACACAGAAATATTATAAAAGTATTACATTTTATAGACACATTGACAGACAGTATGTTCGTGCTTAGCTTTATTTAATCAAAACAAGATGATAGGTATCTAATCAGAATAACAAATATTTAAAAAGATAATACTAAGAGTTGAATTAAAATATAAACTTAGGCAATTTACTATTTTGTACATTTGTTAAATTGCTCATCTTGAATTGAATGAGCTATAAAATGGTGCTTAAAATACTTTTTGTGATTGCTTCATTAGTTTCGTATGTGGTCAGTGATTCCTGTGTGACGTACGATTTTGAGGGAGAATTCGATAATTCTTTTAGTAGCTATGGTGTCTGTGAGTCAATGCCTATGTGGTATGTTGGCGATTACAGTACTGTGGGCCTTACCAGTCCAAGTGGCCTCAGTACCAAGTTCGTCTCACCTCATTCAAGTATGAGTTGTGCCTCATCATTCCTCTTTACTATGAACGCGGGCGGTATCGTTGAAGTGAACCTTTACATGGAACCAACATCTGCGAATGATCATCTACAAATTCTGGTCCAGCAAGAACTGTCTGGTGGTGTAGCTTTCATCACAGGAATGAAATTTTTAAACACCGTCAATGGGTGGATTACTGCGCAAATAACCTTAGCCGGCCCAGAAGTTTATCAAGGCTACGTGAGTACTTTTTGTAATATTAGATAAATTGTATACAACA